TTGCGATCTTTCACCAGAGTATCTGGGCAGTATGTCTGCCGCAAGGTAATATTATAATATGAGAGGGTCATCAGTGGGGACTGAGATGGTCAAGGAGAAGGATATACCCTATTTGAGTATAGTAGGGCATATGTTAGCAGCAGTGTCGGGTGATCAAGAGGAGTATATTGGGGCGGTGGCTCTCATCGTCTATGGTGGATATCGAGTGTGGGAGTAAGGTCTCTGCTATCATGATAATTCTCATGATGGGACGTTGGTTGGGGGAGTCGAAGATGATGAGTGTGATAGTTCATTAATTTTCAGACCAAGAGTTATGACTACTAAGTGACAATTGAGATGTCTGGTAGTGTGTCAGTATGAGATTTGAATGACGTTGGGAGACTGGTCGAGGAATCAGAAACGAGGTGCGTAATAGTGCATTATTTCTAGATTGAGAGTCAGGACTGTGTCGGAACAGTCAGAGTATCCGACGGTGTGTCGGTCTGAGGCATTCAAGATGACTAGGGGTTAATGTAAGGGTTTTTTATAGCTCTGGGCTAAGTTATAATGTGGATGGACAACTATTGTGCGGGCGTGTGGACAATATTATTCTATGAGAATTACTATGAGAATAGGTTGTTTAGTAATGTGAATACGTTAAACCTCATTCAGTTATTGTTATTTTAATGAATTTTCACTAATTCTTATTCATTTTTGTTCTCACACATCGTTTTTAACTTATTTTTATTCTTACAGAATACGACTCAATAAATATTCTAACAACATTATGACAGAATAAGAATAATTAAAAAAAATCTATAATAATCTTATAGATGATTTAATTAGTGAGAATGCGTGATAATGACAATAGTTATACAAGATTGAACGTATTCATATTATCAAACAACATATTTTCTTTGTCATTATCATAGAATAGCACTGTCCACACGTCCGCACAATAGATGTCAATCCACATTTTAACCTAGCTCTTTCTATATAAAAACAAAATGTAAGGGGTTTTCTAAATATTGATAGATAAATGGTTGTGTTTTTATGTATTTTGTCTATTCACTAATTATGTTAGCAGATATAACTAGTAATCCGTGAACAAACAAAAACACTTGTTATCGTTCTTTTCTATTTTCCCTTCATTGAGAATTTTAGATCATTGTAGCAACAAATAAGCCATAAAGCTACAAATTAAAGCTCAAATAAAAACTCTTGTATTTATATACCGATTTGGTTCAGACATAAAGCAAACAAATGAAAAACCACAAACATCAATTTGTATTCATCTTTAAACTCAAATTTGTATATGAACTAAAAGCTAAATAAAAATAATCTTATTCATTTTGATTAATTCAAATACTAATTTTCAATTGCAGTGAAATATAAAAAATTGTAAACTTGTGACAAATACATAATGATTTAATAACCACACACAACGAAAACATATGACAAACAAATTAAAAACCCAAGTACATAACATTGTGGGCATAATTTTTTTTTTCCAATCACGATTATTAGTCATGGCCAAGAATAAAGAGAGTCCTGAACATGGTCAAGCAAATAATCTAATAAAATGGTCAAACCACCATATTGTTGAAATGAAAGGTGATATTTTCAATTATGTTTTTTATCCATTTTGGATAGCTTCCGCCCTTCTTTTCGAGTTTTGACTCCCGATGGTCGATCCAGTGATTCTCTGACGTTCCTGCCTTTGGGGCACGTTTTGGACAGATGTTTTGTGCCCCTTATTGATTCACAAGTTTGGGTTTTCATTAAATAAAAAAATAAAATAAAAACTTAAGTAAGTTGATAGTAATATATAGCCCATTAAAATTTTGGCCCCTTGTAGTTTATGTTTGTCCATCTATTTGTGTCGTACCTTATGGCATCATATATTATAAAATAGCAATTTGCTTCATGAAATGACTTCTTATTTGCCGGTTTGACATGTTATACATATAAAATACATGTAATGAGAAACTATTTTATAAAGTTACATTTTATTTTTATGATGTCATGTAGGTTTCATTTTTAACACCCGGTAAACTCGAAATAGATTGTTACGGTGATCACAATATAAATTTCTTTAAAGAATCATTGACTTTAATTAATCAAAATAAAGTGTAAAGCTGGACTGTAAAAACGACAGTTCTTATGTATATGGCCCTAGAAATTAATATAAGTTACAAAATACAAATCCGGCCATTAACAAACGAAAGAAAGCCAACATGTCAAAAAGCGTTACCAGATTGGTTTGTTTATGAGCTTGTGAAACGACAATCTTGAAAAAGAAAATGGTATGGAAAACACAATTGGGGATATGATAATGGTGTTGGGAAGAGTAGGTGTACAATTGGATTGTTAAATACGTTTTGCTTGAAATACTGGAGCATTAATGGTCCCACTACTTTATGAAGCTAAAAAAGTCTTGGCACCATTATAAATCAAATGCTTACCTCCTAAAGTTTCTTTTTGGCGCTTTTTTACTAAGAAATACAATTTTTTTTAGTACATACTAATGCAAGTTATTATAATAATTACTATTACATCCTTTTGATGTTATTTTCTTTGTTTGTTTCGATACAGTACTTCTTTTTACGACTTAGGGTATTACTAAAACTGTTTTTTGAGAGGGGGGGGGGGGGGGGGGGGTGTTAAGTATGAAAGGTACAGATTTAAAGAGTCAATCCATTATTGCCTTAGAGTTAGAGATGCACATCCATAAAATGTCCTTTGGGCTTTTACATAAACCATTGGCTGGCCATGTCACACAATCAATGCTTTTGATTGGTTCAAAATTTCACACTATGGACCGAGCCTTCACCAACCTCGCTTGGGAGACATTAGAGAAAATGGTTATAAAGTTGAAAATTATTTCGAGGATAGAATCCTTTTAAAGAGGTTTGTAACATATAAACTCTTTTTGTATATTATATGATGTCATATTTGTATCCTAGTATGTTATATAATAACCGTAAACAGGATAACTAAACTTTTGAAGTTTGAACCCTTGGAATGGAACCCCAAAGAAATGTGTGGTATGCATACAGCATACCGCGTGTTACATTTTGACCGCACGGGAAAAAAATCATCTCCTTCAAATGTACTATTTCATGTATTAAAATGTGTATCGTGGTGGGTGTGGTATGACACCCACCAATTTTGTAGGGTGAAAAAAAATGAAGTGACAATACAAAAATGTGGTATATGTGGTATGACACCTACCGGCCTAAGATGTATGTTTATACTATTATTTGTCATGTTTGAATTGCACTGATTGTCATAAAGAAGTTCCTATAGTGTATTACTTATAATTAGAAGCAATATACTTGTGAATATGGAAGCGCCTTAGAATGGAATACTAAAAACATATCATATGATTATGATCGTCTTCACTCTCCTAATAACAGTCGTCAGTCTTCTCCTATTGATATGTACAAATTGTTGTAATCTTCATTCTCTTAATTTTTCAATGATCGACGTCACTCTCAACAAATTCATATAAGTTGTGTTCGATATTATGTCCAACAATGTTCTACCACATGTCCACCACATCATTTGCATTTTTGCAGCCTCCATTTTTCTCTTATGATTTTTCTTTCCCCCGCGATGGAGGCCGGTTGAGGAGTGAAATTCCACATAAGAGGTCCAGGGTTCAAATCTTGGCAAACTTAAAATATTGCTAGTATTCCATGAATGATCTCCAACGTAGACTTTGGGACGGATTAACGTGGGCCGCTCATATGGTACGGTTTACCATTTTTTGTGATAATATAATATATATTAGTTGTCACAACTTAATGGGTAACTACAATTGATTTCAAACAACCAACTTTGAAAGGGCATTCTCAATTGTCGTATACAATAGAAGTTATTTAAGTTCAGTTTTTTCTCATAAACGATTAAGAACAATAAAGATACAATATTGATGATTGAAAATTAAATATTTTACATATTTTGAAAATTAAAAGAATTAATGATATATATTTTCCACTTTTTAATTTACATTCGTCTCTCTTTTTTTTTTTCATCTAGTGTCTTGCTAGAGACGTTTGTCTTAATAAATTCAGTTGTTAAAAAATATATTCGTAGTTCGGGATTGTAAGTTATATGAAAGTAAATAATATGTTATTGGATGGTTTTCAATTTATTGTTGTATAAATCACTATAGACTTATACATAGGTCTTTTACTAAAATTGATATTATTTTGTAAAAGTATGTCATGAAGAAAAATGACTTGAAACTATACTAATAGACTTAAGGGTTGTTTGATATGACTTTTACGGAGTCTGATAACAAATAAAAGGCTAGGTCTGGCTCATCTAAATTTGTCTTTTATTCGTTAAAATTTATGATTGTGTCTGACTCAATCAAACATTGACTCAATCAGCAACTATCAAACAATCCTTAAGAGTTAAGACTGATTTTGTCTATCAAACAATCCTTAAGAGTTAAGACTCATTTTGTCCTAAATGACTGACGGACTGAGACTTAAATTGATTTGGTCCTAAAAAAGATAAAAAAGACGGTTTTTTATTTTATATTCAAAAAAACTGGACCATCATTTACAACTTACGACTAGACTTAAACCGAGCTAAAAATAGTGTTGGTGCACCTCTCTCTCCAAGAGAAGAGTACGCTTTTGTCCTCTATGTAAACTAATTGGTGGGGACAAATCAAAAGGTGGGAAAAGTTGCCTACTCATTTAATCATTTAATCATGTGTTGTTGGGGACCCTTCATTTCCAATGACAAGATAAGAGGCGCATAACATGAAGCAAATTATCATTTTGCTTCTTTAGATTTAAGAGAACATCTTTTCTTTAACACCATGTCCATGTCCATGTCCATAATAATAGATGGAGTAAGTTGGGTGCATGGCTCATTTATTCGTCTAAAATGGGATTCAAATCATAATTAAGAAAACGCTACCAAGACCACACCCTCCAAATCCAAACTACATATATATGTATATACCAAATTACAACAAGAATACGAATTTGACAATGCATCTGCATGTGGTGCAAATTAAGGAAACAATAACAAAAAAGAATCTTCTTCTCCTGTATACAAAATGATATATATAATGGGGCTAATAGCTATACAAAATGCTGGGATTCAAGTAAATACAAATACCAATGTTTAGCTGGTGGAATTGGAAACGGGGATTCCGTGTTTCTGAAACCATTCCGGCATGCGGAACCTTTCGTATAACACGGGCCTCACATCCCTCTGCTCTGAAAGTTGCTTCAAAAGGGGAAGGAGCACCTCCAGAAGCTGTGTTCATTTTTTATGTATCTTTTTCAGTAAACTATTATCATTCGTAATAAGGTTTGTATGCAAAAAACAGCCTTTATTTCTTGCATTTAGGATGTAGATACCTGGTCATCACGTGGTTGTCCAGCTGTAAAAGGTATGCATGGGATTCCATTCACTGGTTGCAATAAGAAACTGAATGGATTGTTGTCAACAATAACAATCCTGCAAAAATCTTTTGATACAAAAGAAAGGTCCTTCACATGTTCTCTATATTCCCTGTGAATTTAAACAGAGATCAATACAAGACTAGCCCATGAGTATAATGTCAAGCTACATTAATTAATAAAGAAATGCTACAAATTATCAGAATAAAGAAGAATATATTATACTCACGTGGAAGTTGTTGAAGGCCGATAAAATCTACGGCTAAATCTGTTTTCAGCATCTATTCTGTCAACAAGTGGTTTTGCATATCCTGGAGAGGTGGAAATCAAAATAATAATAAATCAAAAGGATGATGAAATTCAATATCAGATATTCAAGAAAAAGAAAAGTCATAAGCAAACCTTCAAGTCCTGCTGTAAATAGTACAAGATCAGCAAATTTGCTAAGTTGGGCAAGGAATTCATGCAGTCCAGGGCGTTCAAATACTGTCACATAGTTGATCTTCGGCTTTCCATCATATTCCTTCAAATCCAAATACTTTATGATCAGTTAACTTTATATGAATAATGAAGATTATTAAGACTGATTTATGAATAGAACTATTTCTCACCTTCTCAGAAGCTATGCATTCTAGCTCAAACCATGTCAATCCAGCATCTGTAGCTTGTTTTCGAACACTATCAGGTAAACTAGATGTCTCATAGGCACATACTAGAGTTTCATCCAAGTCAAGAACCACCTGTAGCCACAGATTGAAAGACAATCCAATAGCTTTCTTAGTGTTTTTGCTCAAAGGTATCGTTTTAATCAACACTGAGTTAAATCTTTCTCCATGATGTTAAGGGAGACAAGACTAAACATTCTCTCTACAATTTGCATATTCTCTAATGGGGTCCCACATATTGTCTTAACTCTTAAGTCTTAAGTATACAAGTATATGAAAAACTTTGAGTTAGACAGCATAACTAAAGCCTAAAGGAGCAAAGGCAACCTAGTTAATAATACAAAAAAGCAAAAAAGCAAAAGCAATTAAGATTGTGACGGGAGAAGAAAAGAACAAACCTTTACTGGGGTAACCACTTTCCCTAATGCCACACAGTTAGATTCTAGATTTTCTTAAGCTACACTAAATTCTGGGTATCAATTACTGCGAATTCATACATACCATCCAAGCAAACCTAATCACTGTATTAATTGTACTTCTCAAACAATGAATCCATTAATTCCACGGAATGGATTGCTGCTATTCTATCAAAGGCTAGTCTATATCTCATTCATACAAGCATATAAATGCTTAACCTCTGTTCAGGTTTATATAGCTCAATGCAAAAACTTCAAGCAGAACCATTAAAATTGGTATTCTAAACAAGGTAAAGCTGTTGAAGTACACTCATGACAGAAATAAATGCCAACATCTACCACATCGATCCAATAAAACATCAACACAAATGAGATGAACACTCACCGTCGTAACGAAATCAAAACGAACAATCAACAAACTAATACGAAATTAAAACAAAAATAAAAACTAAAACTAAACGTACCGTGAGCTTTGCCGAACAATCATAATCAGCCACAGCGGTGGGAATATGAACGGAAGCGGCAGAGAATGTTGCCGGTTGAGAAGATTCAGGAAATTCAACGTCAGGCAAAGGCTTGAACGACGCCGAAGAAGACGAAGAAGAATAATTGATCAAGGAAGCAACGGAAGGAGTGCCTCTAACGATCTGAACAAAGATCTGAAAGAAGAAAGTCAACCAGTTCAACAGTGACCGCCATACTTGTAAGGTCCTTGTCTGCGCATACACTTCAGTTGCTGCTTTGCTAATATCCGCCATCACCGGCTGCCGGAAAAACACACAGACGCAGTTACTTAGATTGAAATCTGAATCGAGGATTTCACGAAGGATTCGAGGGGTCTTACCCTGCCTCTGTCTGTGTATATATGTACAGGTTTGTGTGTATATATGTAATGATTCGTTTTATGCATTTGTATGCATATAGAATGGAATAAGATTATAAGAAGGATGTGAGGTGTGGTCAAGGCGATGGCGCCTCAAGGAAAGGATTGAACAAGATGGGGAGAGTGTGAGAGCCACGCGCTTCTATAGTTTAGTGGGGAAACGCTAAAGGTGACGTGGAGATGGGATCGGAGTTCAGGGATAGAATTGTCTTTTCGTCCTTGTTTGCCGTGTTGTTCGGTTTATTTGTTACGTTCTTTAACGAATAAAAGCCGTGGAACACATGAAATTTGGCGTCATATAAAGCTGTGAGATATGAGCCTATCATATCTTTTTGAAACTTTCTGGATTTTATTTTGATAGCTTATCAAATACAGTAATAAAGTATTTTCTTTTAGAGTAAATTACAGAAAGAAAGTGCTCCTGGGTTAATTTGTGTTTCGTTCTCGTTTCAATTATTTTTTCACTTGGATCATCATTTACATTTAGTGGTGTATGCGATATCCATATTATTAATACTGTTTTAATTTTTGTTGTTAAACTACCGTAAAATTATCATTTTACCATTAGGCCGTCATGTATACCGGCAACGAAGGGGCTCGTGGTCTATGTGGCCACGAGCGTTGTCCGTGCACACCATCCCAGACCTTCGTGGTCGTGGTGATTCGTGGTGGGGAAGACGGAGGACCACGAAGATGCCTCTCTCAGCCGACCCTCTTCTTCTTCCTCTCTCTCCGTTCGTGCTCGTCACTGGTACACCACCACCGGGTCGTGCTTCGTGTTGGTCTTCGTGGTTGCGTTGCTCGTGACAAGCATTGCAGATGACCTTAGTGATATGTTTGTACTTTTATCTTATCATTTTTTACTATTTATATCGTTATAATATAATCGTGGGAGCATTCCGAGTTTTTTTTTCGTCCACATTTATCCCTTCAACTTGTTAAACTGTATACATTCGGTCCTTATGACCGGTTACTGCAGGTTAGCCGGGAAAAAATGACTTAATAGGGTAATATATTTTTCATTTTGTACACATTTAGTCCTTAATATTTTTGTACACATTTAATTTTTAATATTTTTTTGTTTCAAAATAAGTCATTTTTGTTTTTGTACTCATTCAGTACTTATGAATGATTTCTCTAGGTTTTCTCACGACATTTTTACGTTAGACCAAAGGGCCTTTGGTATTTAAAATTATACTATCCAAAATGGAATTATTGCGCATACAAATACAAAAGGTGAATATGAAAATAATTTGTAGTTGATAATATGTATTTATAATTAGTAAAAATAGAAATGACTGACAAATACAAAAGGCGAATATGAAAATCATTAAAAATGTGTGTCTGGAACGTACCACATTCGATCCAAAATGTACGATGTCAGTTCGGAACATCCTTTCTTTTAGATTTGTGGAATGACTTTGTGTCACTATCACCAACCTTTCTTTGAAATATTATGAAAATTATCTGGAATTGTGTCTAAAATATGTGTTTTGGAATGTACTGTTAGGGCTGAACCAAACATATTTGAGGCCCAAAGCAAAACCAAAAAGTGTCCCTTCAAAAGAGTTGTTGCAAATGATCGAATACGAACAAATCAGTTAGATAGAGGACGTCTTACCAAATGAGTTGATATGATTTTGTTTAATAACATAAAACGACTTACTATAGATTATTAAGGAAAACAACAATGAGACAAAAAAGGAAAAAACGTTGTTCCAAAGGATAGAACCCATGTAAGTTAGTTCGAAGAAGGACATCTTACCAAATGAATTGAGACGTTTTTTTTTAACAACTTAATATTGACTATTAAGAAAACCAATAGTTATAGAAAAAAAAAGATAAAAGCATTGTGCAAAGGATCAAACCTTTGGGTAAATCAACTAGATGGTTGACGTCTTACCAAATGTGTTGAGACGTTTTTAGTTTTTGATATAAATCGACTTTCTTATTAACAAATGTCGACATAATTAAAATTGAGATCCTAGATGACCCCCCCCCCCCCCCCAAACCTATGAGTTGATCCTACATACTTATTACGTCCAGAATATACGAAATCATTATGGAACGTGTTTTCTTTTAGATTCTGAAATGTCTTTATGTTACATCTCACCAACCTCTATGCAACTCCATAACATACCTTAAGAGTCTAGAACATGGTGTTCCGGACTCGGTGGCTATTTTACAAATCTAAGAAAATTTAGGTTATATTGTTATGAACCTTGTTTATAATGGTTAGTTTTGTTAGTATCCTACACGTGACTCAAATTGCATAAAACAAAATAATGGTAACGGTCTTTAACAATAAATTAAAACTTAGGGACCAAAATGAGTATCCTCCTTTTCCAGTGATAAAGGAGTATCCTAAGAAGACGCTCTTCCACTTCTAGTTACGTGGCCAATCATTTCACAAAATATTTTTGATAACCGGGTGGATCCCACACAATTTTCTATTATTGCTTTCTCCTAGTTTACCAGTCAACCACTATTACCTACTTCTTTGTTATTACGCTTCTGGCACCTGAACTTTAAAGTATTACAGAAATGACCAATTTACATCTAAAACTTTTCGTAGCAATACCAACCAAACAGCTGTCCCGGTACAAAAAGTTCACGGGGTATCCGACTCAAAAAGCAGTAGATACCAACTGGACAACCCACATTATAACCGGACGTCAAGGCTCCGTTAACAGTTGTATGTACGTTGTGCATCTCTACTCTAACCATTTGGAAAATTACGAAACAAGTATTTTCATCGTTCTATCACTATTACAGCAATAGAAAACAACAGTTTAGTAGCTATATGGATAAGATACTAAAAAATAGGTTATGTTTATCTATATTTTGTCTTGGGTACGAAATGAAAGCCTATATCTACAACTAAAAACAAATTGAGATTATAAAGTGAAAACTAAATTTAACAAAATATAAAGTTTGAATCATGTCTCGTAGGGAAACGAGAGCCAATGATGTTTCAAGGCTTCTGTAGCTGTTGGCCGCCTTTTTGGATTGATCTCAAGTAAGTCGCTAATAAAATCGATGAATAATGTATCAGAAACTTGTATCTGTTCCTCTAATGATGTTTCTTGTGGAATTATGTATTCCTGTTGCTTCGTTTCCTGGATAACATCAAAAGTCAAAACCAGACACCCAAGGTCAGTTTTGTAATTACCAATTCTTCTATGAGCTAGACTTTCTAGCATTATTCAGAGAAGGGCATTTACGTCTTTTCTCATACAGGGCTAAAGGAAACGAACCTCGTTTATCCGATAAAGATCAAACTCGTTTGTGAAATACTTGCTTGTTTCTTGGCCCCTCATTAGCATATCACTATCAATTGGTCCGATCATTCCAATCACTTTTGCAAGCAAGAACACAAGGGTATCGTTTGGAAATAGTACCTGATATGAAATTCGATAAATATTCCAAAAAGATTCAAAATATGATGAAAGATTAAAGCTTTTGATGATAAACATACATCACCAGATGATAATTCAGCCAAGATACAACCAAGAGACCATAAGTCAACTCTCTGGTCATATGGAAGACCGATGATGACTTCAGGTGCCCTATAAGAACGAGATTGCACATATAATGACAATTTATCGTTTTGAAAACAACTGCTTCCAAGATCGATAATCTTGATCTCACATCTGCTATAGCTTTTGATGAGAATGTTCTCGGGTTTTAAATCACAATGTATAATTCCAAGTCCATGCAAGTATTCCAAAGCTTCCAAACATTGCTTTGTTATCACCTGATCATTTTGAATTTACAAAAACTATCATTAAAAACAAGGATTGTGAATTGTGATGATTATAATTTATAAATAATAAAAGAACCTGTAGCCTCGTCATTGTGAAATAAGGCTCCCCACCCGAATCTCGATTGAATTTTTGGAATTCATATAAATTGGCACGTAGCAGTTCACTAACAATGATGAGATGTTCCTGTAAAAAATTTAAGCAACTTTTTAATAAACAACTAAATGCAAGAAATAACAATGCATTTTCCTTTATTTTAATAAATTGGTGGAATTCAAATTTCTTACATGAAAATAGAAATAATCATAAAGCCGTAAAATGTGGCGTTCATCTGCAGGATCATGCTTGTTTACAAGCTTCAAAAGCTTGATTTCATCTAAGCTTTGATCAAAGAAATCTTTTTCGTTCTTTATAATCTTTAAACAAACATCAACTCCTGTCTGGAGATCACGTGCCTGAACGACTTTACTGAATGCAGCCGAACCAAGATACTCTGTAACAACATATCGGCTCCCAATCACACTGTTTAAAACAATCGGTAGATCCTTGTTCTCTTCAAAACCAGTCCTATAAATTCCATAACGAGTCAATACACATACAACATGCAAAATTAAACATGTCAAACTAACCTGTTTTTCCGGTGTATAATTCTCAAATCAAACACTTCGCATTCGTCTTCATTTGTGGCAATGGCGTCTCCTTCTTCAACTTTAGCAGAATCCCGATCACAAAATTCTTGGATTTCTCCATCAAAAGCACCATCACTATTTACGTTAAAGTCAAAATCTTTCTCTCCCGTATTATCTTGTAAGTCATTGGTTCTTTTAGAATCCCCAACAAGATCGTGAAAATCATTCAAATCGATTCCTTTTAAAGCGCTACATAAAGTGGTGGATTTTGTGTCAGGCTCGTAGTATTCTGTGACCTCGATGCCCTCTTTCAAATACCCGATGCAGGTAGGCCATACTTTATGAAGACGATTAGTTTTCTCTAATGGGTCTAATAAGGGATCAAGAACCATTTCAAGATTCTCGTTTTGGTTATTTTGATCTAAAGTTGTTACGTATTTATCCTCAGTTGGACGACCGAAAGGATCTGAGTGGTCAAAGCAAGATGGCATAGGCATAGCGTAGTCTTCGTCTTTCTCTTTATACCAATTTAAGTCATTTTGCATGTCAAATTCATGGTAATCACGAGCAGTACCAAATTGAGACAATCTATCTGATGAAGCGTGAGAGTTTGCCCCTGTCGGAATCCTGATCCCATATGGGTTTGTGAATTCTGCAAAAAGGTATACGTTTGAACCTTCATTGTCAAATAAGTCAATTTCCAAATTCAAATTTTGATTATTTTTTTTAATGTATTTTACAGATAGAAACTATGACACTGCTAGTAGCCTTCTCGCCAATTCGATATGTACCCTTGTTTTAGTTCAATTTAAACAAGTCTAAACCAATTTTGGATCCCAAATATAATTAATTTGACCACAAAAGTCAAGACTGTGAAAGTAAATTCTAGTGTAAATTCATAAAAAGTTGATTTTTGGCCCAATTAGATGATAACAAGTCAATACAGAACCTTAAACAACTGAACATTTGAGGATTTAGGCTCCCAAATCCGGAATTCGAAGTTTTATGTACTAGTAAACAAAGAAACTAAGATCTTGATCTTCATGATAATTGCAATAAAAGATAAAGACAAACAAGAATCTGAAATTAAGGAATCAAAATTAAAGACAATAAAGACAAACAAGATAGATTGTGGTCCTAAATCATAAAAGGGTAGTCAAACAGAATCCAATCAGAAATCATGTAGTTAATTAAATGAATTTAAATTAACAGTGAGTAAATAAACTACCAATGCTTGTAATCTAAGCAATCCCAAGGTAAGAACATTGTCTAATTGTTGACCATCTTATAAAGAATTGGTTTTTTTTTTGTTTAGTCAAAGTAATGTAGATTAAATTGGTGATCGATTAAGCTATTGCTATAATAATAAAAAGTCAGCGGCTTGTGTAGGTACCTGAGGAGCATAAATCAGTGGTGGAAGAACCCAAGCTGATGAACTCCTGATCAGAAGAAGCATCGGAGGTTGCAAGATCTTCCGCCGGTTTCAGTGGCGGAGGAAGACAGCGAGCAGCGGGAATCTTGAGAGGTGGAAGTGATGGGGGAAAGAGAAAATTGTGAAAATCGGAAGAACCCACCTGGGATTTCTCAAATATGTCGTCGATGAGTGCGGATTCAGAGACTGAAAGATGGTTTTTTCTGAAGAAATGGAGTACGGATTCGATGTCAGAGGGTTCCATGGCTGAGAGAATTTGGAATGGAAATGAGGAAGAAACCGGAAATGGAGGTCAAAGGTTATGATTATTAATTGGAGACGTGGATTCTCCATGGTTTCTTTTTGTATTGTAAAGGAGAAGGTGAAGACGTGAAAGAAGGATTGTGAAGGGCTTTGAAAAGTAGGACTGCAACATAGAAAAAGGTTGTGGGTTTATACACTCCACTTGTGGAGTTGTAGGTTTTATCATTATTTTTATGGTTTATATTTTTAGTTTTTTTTAACGGCATTAGATTTCTTATTATTTAATTATAATTTCTTAAAATATGTTTTAATATTAAAATTTATTGAAACTTTTTTTGAACCGCTTAAAAAGTCAGTTTTCAGTTGAAAAGTCGTTATTTGTTTGATAAATAATCTGAGAAAAGTAATATCATCTACACTTGCCTTAATAAAATTAACATAATGTCTTTTAATTGCACTTTTATGTAATGTTATACATTTCAAAACTTTTCAACTACTTTTGTCAAACACTCTATATGATATAATGAATAAAAGCTATAATTTTCGGCTACCAACTTCTAACTAATTTTGCCTAACACATCATGCATCTATCAATAAGTAATCTCAAGCATTCATTTAAAAAACAAGATTATAATTTATTTTAGTAGCCCGTCAAACACTACATTGTAATCAGTTCAAAATATAAATTCAGATTATGCAAGCCAACCAGGACCTAAAGTTACTGTTTTTCTGTATGTAAATTATCCTTTCAATTAAAACTAGTATTTATACATAAGTTGATTTAAGATTTTATAATGTTTTTGAAAAGATTCGGATCTTCGTTTGATGAAATTATGTTGATAGGATATTTTCAATTTTATTTTTCTACATATGCTTAACACTAACTAAACTCTATGTAAAGATGATATCTATTAAAATCGTTAAAACAAACAAGAAATCATGTGTTCGATGTCAGATTTAATGAAAACATTGACAAAAGGTGGTATAATCAATTAAATAGGACCAGGACCTAAAGTTACTGTTTTTCTGTATGTAAATTATCCTTTCAATTAAAACTAGTATTTATACATAAGTTGATTTAAGATTTTATAATGTTTTTGAAAAGATTCAGATCTTCGTTTGATGAAATTATGTTGATAGGATATTTTCAATTTTATTTTTCTACATATGCTTAACACTAACTAAACTCTATGTAAAGATGATATCTATTAAAATCGTTAAAACAAACAAGAAATCATGTGTTCGATGTCAGATTTAATGAAAACATTGACAAAAGGTGGTATAATCAATTAAATAGGACCAGGACCTAAAGTTACTGTTTTTCTGTATGTAAATTATCCTTTCAATTAAAACTAGTATTTATACATAAGTTGATTTAAGATTTTATAATGTTTTTGAAAAGATTCGGATCTTCGTTTGATGAAATTATGTTGATAGGATATTTTCAATTTTATTTTTCTACATATGCTTAACACTAACTAAACTCTATGTAAAGATGATATCTATTAAAATCGTTAAAACAAACAAGAAATCATGTGTTCGATGTCAGATTTAATGAAAACATTGACAAAAGGTGGTATAATCAATTAAATAGGACCAGGACCTAAAGTTACTGTTTTTCTGTATGTAAATTATCCTTTCAATTAAAACTAGTATTTATACATAAGTTGATTTAAGATTTTATAATGTTTTTGAAAAGATTCAGATCTTCGTTTGATGAAATTATGTTGATAGGATATTTTCAATTTTATTTTTCTACATATGCTTAACACTAACTAAACTCTATGTAAAGATGATATCTATTAAAATCGTTAAAACAAACAAGAAATCATGTGTTCGATGTCAGATTTAATGAAAACATTGACAAAAGGTGGTATAATCAATTAAATAGGACGATTCATGTGGCAAGTTATTACTTGAACTCAATGATGTAGAATAACCCTAATGTTGATCAAATGTGGAATTTTCATGTGCCTCCAATGAATGTATGGTGATAACAAACTTAACCAAGTTTTTTAGCTCCATTGACCGGGAATTTTCTTTAGATAACTAGGATAAACCTCACACCAAGTTTTTTTAACAACGAAGAGACCAATACAATACCTTGCAAACCACCTAAATAGGTCAAACCATTCCAAAATGAGTATAATTATCAAAAAGTTGAAGCATTTGAAAAATAGAACCTTTCGAGATTTTAGATAAAACAAGTTTAAGTATTAATAGTTGTATACTTGACAACCATTCAACCAATGTTCTTATAAGAATACAGTAAATGTTATATGATCTTTTTGGTAATTATTTATACGAGCATCAAGCTTTGGGGTGATTAAAAATTGGCATGGTATGTTGGTAACTTAGCATTGAAGTAGATGTGAATTATTTATTATAATTTACTACCTGACCGGCTGACCCACCGCATATCATAATGGTGTCTATTGTTTTCAATTTCTAACCCCACCCCCCATATTGCACTTTTTGCCAAATTGTGCCCACATTATTAATTATTTTTCCTTTTTTTTCCCTTTTTCTTTTCCTTTTTCTTTTCATTTCAAGGATAACCTTTCGTTTTGGCGTACCATCTTTCAAATTTTAAACTCATTTTACGTAGATTTAAGATATTAATGAGTTATTGAGTTCTGGCGAATGGTTTTACAGCTTTGGAATATCAATGACTATCTTAACAAGAATCAACGATAGATGATAGTTGATTATAAAGTTGAAAATAATGAAAAAAAACAATACGAAAAAGGATCATTGTCGCTACAGATCTTCAGTTACCGTTTAGAAAAAACAACCAGATTTTCAGTAAGGTAGTGTTTGTTTTTTGTCTGCAGATCTGCGTGGCATCTTCTGTCTGCGCCGCGCAGACCACGCGCAGACATTAGCTTTCGCAGACTGTTTGTTTTTTTGAAGACTGCAGACCTAAAAATGTCTTCACGCCCTCTTCTTGGCGCAGATGTGGACCAAAGTCTTCAGACATCTTCTAGCCTAAAAAAACATATATATCTTTATTTTTTTTAAGTTTTTTTTTTTAATTTATGTTTTTTCCAACTTTATTAATGATAAACAATTTGAAAAAAAAATTACAAAACTTAAAAAAAACGTTCGACGATACAAACATGATATTTTTAACAAATTTATAAATAAAGATTTATTACAATAATAGTCGTTGTAGTTGTTTATATAAATATGAAAAAAAAATCATAATATATTCTTATATTTTTTTGCCAACTTTTGTAAAACATTATTTAATACAGTATCATCAATTTCTCGAGAAAATATTTATGGTACGTTTTTAATGGATTTAATTGAAAAAATCAAAGTTTATTTCCATCCATTTATGTATGAAATTCTTTTATCACTAATTATAATGTTTAGTTATAACTTTGCAACCAAAGTTGTTGATTTTTATCAAATATATATGTTAATTCATACCATTTTTATTTTTATTTTTTATACAATAATACATAAAAGTTAATCTAGATTCATTAATTATTTATAACAAAGTCATAAAAATATTAAAAAATCACTTTGAAGTTTAAAAAAATAAGTTTATTTAGATTTCAGTTTATTTTAGTAGCCCGCAGAAAAAAAACAAACAGTCTTCTTTTTTCAGACTGCAGATGTTTGGTCCACATCTTCTACTGCAGAGGTCTACAGATGTGATCCGCAGACTGCAGACATTTTGCCTCAGAAAAAACAAACAACAGCACATAACGGCTCGCATAATACAAGATGCAATTGTAATCCACGATTTTCGTATTTGGAGAGCTATAATGCCATTAATGATTAATTACGAACGGTGGATCTGTTAGCATCATTAAATATCCTAATATTAAATTACTACTAGTTATGGTAACCAAATGCCACCAAATTAAGTAGTTCGAAAATCCATATGCCTAATATCACACCAACTTATTTACCTCCCAAAAGAATAGACCATATCTTTTTTTTAAGAACGGCCGACATATGATTAAAAAATAAAGGGAAAATGATTTGCTAAGGTAATTAACTTTTCGGTATTGTTCATATCTGGGTAAGTATCTTTTTTTTTGTACACATCTAGGTAACAAACTTGATGGAAGTGTTCACATATGACCATTATGACCGGCTGTAGCAGGTCACATTGTGAACATTTTCAACAAGTTCGTTACCTAGATTGTGTACAAAAAAAAATAGTTACTCAAGTATGAACAAAACGGAAAGTAAGAATAAATTACACGAATGGTCCCTGTGGTTTGGGGGAATATGTGTTTTTGGTCCCTAACTTGTTTTTTTAACTCGGATTGTCTCTATTGTTTATTTTGTTGCGCGTTTGGTTCTTGTCTTACCTAAAAAGACTATTATGCCCTTATTAATTTACTTTTTAATTAAATTTGTTATTTATGTATTTATTTTTTATATATTTAAAAAAATTAATAGACCCCACATATCTGTATCTCCTCGCCGTAAACCTGAAACCACATTTGAGAAATTTAATTTGGGTCTCATCGGTCACCATCCCATCTCTCATCATCCTCAACTTCTATTTCTTTTCCATCTTTAGTGACATCGACGTCTTCACCATCTTTCTTTTTTTGGTTCTTCAAATCTAGCGAACCAACACCATAACCCACTATCTCTTCATCTTTAGTGGGCTGTGGTGTTGCTTCGACGGAGTTGAAGGACCAAAAAAGAAGGAATGGTGAAGACGTCGATATCACTAAAGATGGAGGATGAAGGATTGGATGGTGAGGAGATACAAATATGTGAGGAGATACAGATATGGTATGGGAGGAGGATGAGAGATGGGATGATGAGTAGATACAGATATGTGGGGTCTATTAATTTTTTTAAATATATAAAAAAAAATAAGAAAATTAATTAAAAAAATAAGTTAATAAGGGCACAATAGTCTTTTTAGGTAAGACAATGACCAAACGCGCAACAAAAAATAAACAATAGGGACCATCCGAGTTAAAAAAAAAGTTAGGGACCAAAAATACAAATTCCCCCAAACCACAGGGACCATTCGTGTAATTTACTCTTACTTTTTGTTTTGTTCATATTTGGGTAAATATTTTTTTTGTACACATCTAGGTAACGAACTTGTTGAAAGTGTTCACATCTAGGATGTGATCTGCTACAGCCGGTCATAATGGTCATATGTGAACACTTCCAACAAGTTTGT